GCATTTTTTCGCCATGATAGCCAAAGCCTTTTTTCTCGGAGCCAATCTGACCATCCTCCTCCAGCTGGATTGCCACTGGATGCACTCTACCTTGCTGTGTTCGACCCAAGCCGGCTCCAGGCTTCCATCCCATTCTTAAACAAAGTAATTAATAGCGTTTTGGTCACGAAAGTGGACCAAGACAACGATTCTTACCTCCCGAGAATTTTGCTTCCGACTCCTTTCGAGTACTGCTCAATGTCGATCACGTCAGAACCGCTATTGCGCCGCTTTCGCTCGTTACGCAGCGCACGATTATTTTTCTTAGTGAAGACGGAGTCATTTAGTTTTCCGGACCTGAATAATATCATTGAGATTTTTCTCTTCTTCACTATTCACAGGTTTTTCTCTCCTTCCCGCAAACAAGACCGCGTTCACATTTTCTCCGATGGTGTGAGCCGGCACACTTAATGTTGGCTTGCGTGAGATGAGCCCTAGGTTTACGCGCCGGTAGCCGTAGAACCGCATTTTGTCCCATATATTGTATACGAACACACAGTCATGCCAATTTCGCTTCACGTAAAATCATTGTTTAAGCTCCAGTAGCGTTTTAGAAGAGAGGCAAACTACAGAACCGACGGTTGATGTAGTGAATTAGAGCAGTACCTCTTCGCTTCATCCTCCCTCATTTCGACGGCATCGCGTGCGTCTTTAGAAGCAGCTAGCTTTCCCTCGTAGTAAACTGAGTAGTCCACATCCCAGTCGTCCGCCCAGGCCCAGTCACAATCCGTTCCTGAATAAGGGGAAAACGAAATGCAAAAATATGAAAGATGCAAACAGATGTAAGACTTTCATATATTTTCCTTCACATCGTATCGCAAATAAAGGGATACGAAAGAAAACACTCAAAAACCACAAACCTTTTTCTCGTTCATCCCAGTAATTTTTATCGGTATACCAGACCAGTCCAGGTCCACCCTTCTCCCAGACTATCTCCATTTCTTCTTCGTACTTCCTTGGCTTCGTACGATCTTGCTCGGTCACGTCATCATGGAGAGCTTCGTGCCTGCACAAACATTATCAATGTAGTTGCAGTAAAAGATAGAACACGTTAGAGTAAACGGTACCGTTCCCATTCTTCACACTGATCATCATCGTCATCCGCTCCAACATCATTGTCTGGCCCATAATCGTTGAGCAAAACCTTATCAGTGGGATCTGCAGGCATGGGCTGAAAAACTCTGGTTCGCTCGATGATACTCACTATAGGTGGTCCCCAAAAAGCTCACAATCCAAAATGCAGTGTGCTGAAGTACTGATATAAAGTGCAAATATGTGAATTTAGGTAGAAAGCGCAGCAGCACTTTGCATTGAAAGTAAGACAAACTTGTTTTGTGGAGATCAGTAATTATTTTTGGAAAATAAATCACCTGTTCACGAATCGACTGATCTTCATCAAGCTGCTCCTGTTCGGTGACTTTTCTCTTCAGCAGATCTTTAGCAGAAAGATGAACGTCAGCTAAAACCAAATGGTACACTACTATTCACGAAAGTCAATTCAATTTACCTTCATCATCTCTTCCATAAGAATACTGGAAAGGAACTGAGTCATACTTCCTCCTCCGTCTAGTTGACTTCAGACCCAGCTTAGCGATGAGAGATACTGGCAGTCGGCAAAGACGGATCTAAATAACCAGCAAGTGATCAACAACACCGAGTTGACAGTTTTTAACAAACCTGGTCCAGAAAGTACTGAGTAGGGGTACCCACATTGCCGTGCGGCATTACCAGCGGTGGTCGCAGCTCTATCATTTGTCGTAAATCGGCCTCGGTGACACAATCGGATGAGCACTCGCTACCCTAAACATAAAAAGATAATACCCGTGTCTCACATGATAATAAGTCATTTGTGGCCCTTCAAATACATAGTATGAATAACTGACAGAGCAAGAGAACGAATTGCATACCTCCGCAACTTTCACTGCAGTGACAAAACATCTACGAGGAATGTCCATTCCATCGCTGTTTGTCCAGTGACGTCCATGGAACTCTTGAATGAACCGAGATCTGGAAGATTCTCAAATGGCAGAACTTGCAATAATGAGCTAACATTCCCACTCCTCCATCAAAAGTTTTCACCGCTACTAAAGCCGATGACAGGATGATACCAAAGATTACCAAAAGAAAGAGCTATTTGATCAGCGGTTGTTTGTCCACTGTTAGTTTACTAATTCTCAGACAAATGTTTGAAAACAGTGATCGCAGTTCATGCGCAAATTAAGCTTTGAAATGCGTATGTGGAGCATGTGATTACTAAGCACTTCTCAATGAGCTCACCTTCCTTCCTTCGAAATAAAACTAATGATACAGCACGACGTAGATGCCTCCTTTTTTGTTACAGATGCCTGCGCAGTTGTTGTGCTCTGCAAATTGTTAACTCTTTGAGAGATATGTGACAAAATTTCTTGCAAAATAGAAAATACTGTAGAACCAATCGTTGGGAATAGTATAGCGTTAGGATTTCGTTGCAACAGAGTATAAATATTAGGTTGGTAAGAAAGTTCTCGGACATTTT